ATTACACCAAAATATAGGACCCACTTTTCCTTCCATTTGCTTTCCATCCCTCTCTCTCAGCCACTACACTAAACATCTCTTCCTCTCCCTCTCTCTCTCTCACATTCTTCACACACACACACACACATACACACACACACACACACCCACACACATACACACACACACACACACACACACACATACACACACACATACCCACAGTCAGTCACTTTAGAATTCCCAGCCCTTGGGGAAAAAAAAAAAAATTTTTCGCTTTGTTGTTGAAGATTCAGACTGCCCTTCACAGCGTACAGACACCATTCTCCTGACCTTCATTTCGGATGCTCTGGTTTCTACATCGGTAAGTAAGTGTTTTTTTCATTTGGGTGATGGGGCCGTCATTGGTGACTTCGAGGGAGATATCATGAGTGAGGAATTGCTTGGAGACCAGCTGTGCTGATGGTTATGTGTTTGGAGAACAGCTGTACTGATGTCAGTTACCCCTTCCTCCACAGATGGTACCGCCACGGGCAGCTGGTTCAAGAGAACAACTCGACTCGGCTGGTGGTGGGAGAGGTGACCAGAGACAGCAACTTAGAGGACATCGTCTGTGAGGTCTCCAACGAGGTGGGATCCTCCAGGAAGATCACAAGGCTCTCCATACACTGTGAGTACTCCAGCCTTTAGAGGATCTGATCCTCTTTAGTGTTTGATCCTCTTCACTGTTTGTTCCTTGCTGCTGTTCGGTACTCATTCCTGTTCAGTAACTGATCCTGGTCAGTATTTGATCTGGTCAGTACTTGATCTGTTCAGTACTTGTCCCTGTTCAATACGTGATTCCTGCTAGTACTGAGCGCTTGCCACAAGAGCCCGTGGGAGTATTGCTTTGTATGTAATAGTGTGTGATTGCAAGAGGAGAGATGGTCACACTTCAGTTTTGAAGGGTGACACGTGTTTACTCTTGAGTTTGCAATTACTATCACAAGCCAAGCGGCCGTAGAAAGATTGCCCCTCTACCCCCCTCTGTTGACTGTATACCTTCGAGCTGGTTTAGTTCTTGCATCAAACCAGCGGGTCTATGGTTGTACTCTGGAACCATGAGTCTTCCCGTGTTCCTCATCAGTGCTTATGTAAATATCAAAATGGTATACAATACCGACAGGTTGGTAGGTAAGACACATAGGCAACAGTTAGGCAACTTTATTCCGAAACGTTTCGCCTACACAGTAGGCTTCTTCAGTCGAATACAGAAAGTAGGCAGGAACAGTAGAGATGTGAAGACGATGTAATCAGTCCATCACCCTTGAAGAAGCCTACTGTGTAGGCGAAACGTTTCGGAATAAAGTTGCCTAACTGTTGCCTATGTGTCTTACCTACCAACCAGTTGCTTATATAACTTGCCTTCAGAGTGACCTTACTACACTGTCCCTCTTTCATAAAAGTCTCTCGTATAATTAAGTGGAGGATTGAGCCTTTTAATAACTGAATAGCACAAACAGGAAAAAAAATCTGTGGAAAGAAAGCTTTTTACATGGAGGTAAAAAACGAAAATTGACTAGATTATTGTGGTACCAATACTTATATGGGTGTGAGGAGGAGGAGGCCTGAGATGTCGTGTTTGAAAGCACTGTGTGGTGTGAAAAATCTGAAAAAAAAAATCAGGGACATAGAAATTATAAGTTGGTGTGAGGTTACGTGTGGTACTATTCAGGGGTCAGGAAGCAGATGTTGAAATGGTTTGGTGTGTACGAAAAACTGAGTAAAATAGGATGGCAGATAAGGTGAATAAATATGGGGTGGAAGGAAAGCAGGATAGGGGTAGTACCAGGAAGGGAAGCAAGGTGAAGAGAAGGTTTTAAGTGGTAAAGGCTTGAACATCCAGCAGGCGTTTGTGAGCGCATTGAGATCATAAGTGGAGACTTTTTTTTTTTTAAGAACTTGTGCTGGTAGTGTGTGAGCGAAGTAACATTTCTGAAAGGTATCAAGGAAACCGGTCAGCCAGACTTGAGTCTTGGAGTTGGGAAGCACAGTGACTGCACTCTGAAAGAAAGGTGAGGTCAACAAGATAAGCGACTGACGAATGATTGGTGATGTTGCTTCCATTGTTGGTCACCCTACCCTTGTGGGACGGTCGATGTGGTAAAGTGTGTGTGTGTGTGTGTAAATAAATATATATATATATATATATATATAATATATATATATATATAATATATATATATATATATATACGTACGTTTATTTTCGTCCGTCAGTTATCTCCTCTCCAGGTCTTTTTTCTTTCATTTCATTCATCGGCAGCGCATTTCAGATTTTCTGTTTATTTATATCTATTTCCATATAATCCCAAATTGTTCATTCATGGCGGAGACGTTTTAATATTTAAATACGATTCCATGGACTCCCCCTCAGATGAGTAATATCCTGGAGATTGACTCATCTGCCTGAGTCAGTTTTCATCTTAATTCTCAGTCTCTGAGGCTTGACTGATCTCATGGAAGGCCAGAGATGCTGCGAGAAGCTTAAGGATGTGGGCCTGGTAATGATGACAATGAGAGGATTAATAACAGCAGTGTCAGCTGTAACAAGAGTTATGATAATAGTAACAGCATTGACGGTAATAACAGCGA